AAGGAGTAATTCATTTCGAACTCGTCAATACAGAGATCTATAGTCAGAAACTGGAACGTTTAAATCAAGCCCTTCATCAGAAACGCCCTTACTGTCAATCGGAAAGGTGTTCTTCTCCACGACAATGCACGTCCACATATGCCACGTTTGACGCAACACAAGATTATGCAGTTGGGTTGGGAAGTTCTCCCCACCCACCACATTCTCCAGATATAGCACCATCAGATTACTATCTTTTTCGTTCGCTGCAACACCATCTTAATAGGAAAACATATGCAAATGTGGAAGGTGTTAAAGAGGACATGGATATGTTTTTTGCTTCAAAGCCAAGTGATTTCTTTAACGAGGACATTAACAACCTGATTGTAAGATGGAAAAGCATCATCAATAAGAATGGAGACTATTTAACTTGATAAATGTTTTGTATTGATATATAAGTTGTTCGGGTTTTTTCATCTAAAAAAAGCGACATCAATTTCTTGACGACCTAATACAAAACTACATAATGGGCTATGTGCATTCTGCTCACCACGGGTATCGAAACCCGGTTTCTAGCGTTGCCACATGGGGGGGGGGCTGAAGAAGGGGGAAGCTGAACCAATACAGCGGAGTACAGAGATACGACAACTAATCACTTTCTTCAAATGTTTAATTGTGAGTTTTAATAAATTCATCAATATTCTTAATTGATTTTTTCACCATTAGCTTTTTATTAACAAGCATGAGCTGGCTCTCAAAGTGTTTAGAGGAATTTACATATTTTCTTTGTTTCAAGTTCAAAAATCATACTGAAGCTATTAACCCAGTTTCATCTACCAGTATAAACTCGCTTGAAGCTAGCTAAACAAACTTAATTTGACTAAATTTGACTGTTTCTTTTAATGCCTCTATTAAGTTAATACAACACTAAATTATAATATCCATACGTATTATGGTAAACACGATAAGACAAAAAGCATGCGATACAGCCACAATATACTTCAGAAATTGTTTTAAAATCAGAAACGTAAAGATTTGTTCGTTTGTAATTAAGCACAAAGCTACACAATTGGCTATCTGTGCTCCTCTCACCATGGGTATCGAAACCCGGTTTCGAGCATTGTATGTCCAAAGACATACCGCTGTGCCACTGGGGGCAATCGTAAAAGAAGAATTGTGAATGTTATAGCATGCCCATAATCTTTTTAACGTGAAGAGAAAAACAAAGTTTTTATCATTTGACAGTTAAATATATTACTGAGTAACTTAATGATCAGAGTGATCTAGATATATTACCGAGTAACTTAATGCTCAGAGTGAGCTAGATATATTACCGAGTAACTTAATGATCAGAGTGAGCTAGATATATTACCGAGTAACTTAATGATCAGAGTGATCTACATATCTTACTGAGTAACTTAATGATCAGAGTGATAAAATAAATACTTTGACAGAAATCTTGAAATATATTATTTATTAAATCTATCTAATTTAGAATCAATATTATTATATTAGTCAAATTTTTTATCTAAATTTCTCCCTTCCTTCAAAAGCATCAAAATAGTAAGGTGTGTTTTTACAAACGTTAAAAAATGCCTCAAAATGTCTTGCATTTACTCCGTAAAATTTTTAGGTATGAAATTTTCCGCTCACACGGAGAGTTCGCCTGGTAATGCAAAAAACGAAGACTACGTAGTGACAGTACTCTTGGAGATTATAGACTTTTATCCAGTTTAGTCTAGTACGTGTCATGACTTCTTTGAATTAGTACCGGGAGTTGACGCGGGTGAATGTTTTCTTATTGTATAAAAGTTAAGAAGTATACACTTAAAATCCATTGCTTCACATTGCTTGGGTGAAATTTATACTTCGTGAGTACTAATTTTAGACTAACGACAACACGAAATAACTGTTGTTAAAAATACATGTTTTAAATACATACAGAACTGTATAATTGCAAATCTAATGAAACGACTCTTTTAATGTTTTATCGTTGTTTTTAAGGTTAAACATTGATCTGAAGGTGAAGGTTAAGCAGTAGTTAATTATGTACACGAGTCGTAGAACAGAAATTGGATATGTTTATACACTAACTATTTTGAGGCCAATAACTGGAATGACTTTTTGTATATTGTACTTATGGTGAACCTAATTTTGAACTACTGACCAGAGGGAAGACAGCCAGTCAGAAGCATCCAACCACCTAGCATACACGAGAGGGAACTGTATGTCACTCTTATAACGTACTCATAACTTAAAATGCGGGGAATATTTTATTGTATCACAAGAATTTGAATCCGATTCGTCAGCTCCGAAATCCACAACTCTGTCATTAGATCAACAAGCGCCTCAATTGGAAAGAACCAGCACGTTAATCTTTACTAAGGTTATTGTTAGATTACACATTTCTATATTAACACCTTATAGGTTAACAGCTAAAGTCAGCCCAAAGTTAACCCTTTTTAAGGCTACAATTAGTATTTTATTTGTTGTTTTTTTTACTGATTTCGTGCAAAGCTACACGAGGGTCTCTCACGATAGACTAGATGGAAGGCAGCTAGTCAACACCATCTCATAGACTACTCTTTACAGATTGAATAGGATTTGACCGTAACTCTTATAACACATTCAAGGTCCTAGAGTGTGGAGCGCGATATTTTTAGGCTCGCTAACCACTGGGCCTCGCTCGGCCCATAAGTTGTAACCTGAAAGAACATCATTATAAAACTTGTTTAAAGGTAATTTCAATTTATCGTTACTGAAATAAAATATCAGAACCTATTGAGGAGTCCAAAGGCTCCTTCATGATTCACAAATGCCGCAGTATACCGATCAAGCTCCAATTGCTTCTATAGCTACTCCAAGGACATCCGTACAAAAAAACATGGTACTCCAACTAAATTTTGGTGAGTGGGAGAAGGAGGGGAGGTATGAACATAGTTTTAAAAATGACACCTCAGGATCCAAATGGAGGCCAGAAACATAAAATCGGATACCAAATTTTAGTTAAGCGACCATGAAAACATACTCCTAGATCTTCATAATGTCTGGGTAGCCTTTCAGGTGCGTTTTAGTTCTTTTGGCATCAGGACTATATAAATATGCTATATAAATAAGGACATCCATGGAACACCCCAAGTCCGTCTGCCAAGTTTGACTCTGCTTGTTCCAAAACTGTAAGAGAAGTCCGTGTACAAACGGCCCTGTATGGCCAGGTGGTTAAGGCGCTCGACTCGCAAATTTGAGGGTCGCGGGTTCGAATCCCT